ACCTAAACTCTCTGCAAAATAGACCCCATAAGTATTACATCCACCTAGGGAATTTTGAGAATCTATGGTTTCTACATGAAGTACTTAGAACAATGCCTGACCAAGAGTAGTACAGAATAGAATAATATAATAACTTATACCAATAAGAAGTTAGATAACAGCATCTTTACATCCCCAACATCTTCACAACAACAACCACAAAATACAGCATCCCCCCAGAGAGAAAGAAATAACAGGGGTGAAAGTGTAGGGTGAATCAAATAGGACCTTGCAGTTTAGATCTAGGTTAATTTTGCATATATTGAGCACTTTGGACCAATTGCTTTAGTTTAAAGGTTCAAATGCCTATGGATTCCCTTATCTGGGTTTTACAGTGGCTTTAGGCTTCTTAGTAACAGTGTAGCTATCCCTAACATTTTAAAAATTGTGTTTCTATTTTCTTTAGGTAGTTGTAAAAAGAAGTTGCCATTCAACAGAGCAGTATACGAATACAATGCCTCTTGATCAATGTTACCACTTAATCTCACCCAATCCTCCCACGCCCACCTCTTCCTTCTCTTTTTGTAATTTTTAGGTTATGTATTGGCATTTTTGCCATTTAACAAAGCATTTTCTGTCTACAACGCATCTTGATCTGTATCATCCCTTCAACATCTTCACCCCACTTCCACCCAATCCTTCCCTTATTTCTCTCAATGGAATTCTACTCATCCATCGGAAAGCATGACATTGAATGATTCATAAGGAAAGGGACAGAGAGAATTATGCTAAGTAAAGTAAGCCAGACCCAGAGAAACACAGGTTGCCGAGTTTCCCTCATTAGTGGAAACTAGAATGTACCTCTAAATCCAGAAGTAAGCACACTTAGTGGCACCCAAGTGGTTATAAATGAATGAACTGAGGTAAATGAATGAAGCTATGGAAAATGCAAGTAGTATAAATTCATTAGAAAAAATTAGTCAAAGCCTAACAAAATGAGTACAAGGAAATGGTTTTTTTGCAAGAAGCAGGGGCAGTGTCAAGAGGAGAGGGGTAGAAGACCAGGCAAGAATGTGTTCTGTATGTCTCTAACATCTGTATGTGGTTTTCCTCTATTGGTCCCTCGGCATTGCTTTCATCTATGGAATAAGACTGACCACACTACTTAGATCTTCTTTACAGGTCAATGTGAAATCAAAGCAATTAGCAATGTTGTTTTGCATCTTCCAAGGCACTGGCCCTGTTTCCCTGGCCTTATTTGCCTAGTTGCCTCAGGTAGCACTGAGCTATGAACCAAAGGCAGGCCATAGTCCTTTCCTCCAGCCTGCTTTCTTTCCCTTAACATCTTCAGAAATGATGCTCACCTGATTGCCTCGTCATGGCTAGCATGAAGGCACTGTTTCCTACACGCAGTCTTCATGTTGGGAGCTCCCTCAGTGCGGATTGTGTGGATAAATTAAGTTCCTCCATTCTGTCTCAAGGTCCTGGAAGCAGTGCTTTGCATTTGCTCACCTTTGCTTTTGCATCAACATCTAGTTTGGAGCCACCACTCATAGCAGAGGCTCCTGCAGTATTGAATTGTCTTGAACCAAGTGAAAGAAAGACATAGGTCTCAGACATCCATCTGCTCATTTATAGAGGCTGACCAGAGTAGGCTGGCTGAAGGAATTGTGAACCCCCATCTCTCAGTCTTTTTCTTTTGTTTTCTATAAATTTTCAGTCTCAGCTGACCCCTGCTGCGGCTTCCTGTCTGGACCACTCGGATTATTTTATTTGTTCATACAAAAGCCTTTCTCTGCCTTCTCTATTTTTCTTTTCTTTCTTTTTTTATCTTGTGGGGCTTGAACTCAGGGCCTGGGTGCTGTTCTTGAGCCTCTTTGTGCTCAAGGGTAATGCAAGACACAGTGTCACATAGAGTTTTGAGTGGTTAATTGGAGATATGAGTCTCATGGGGACTTTTCTATTTGGGCTGGCTTCGAACTATGATCTTGCTATATTCATCTTTCATTCTTAAAATATTTTCTTCCATTCCAACCCCCCTTTCCTCTACCTACCTCAGGAATGGAAAATGGCAATGCCAGTAGGAAATACTTTCACAAGTGCTGGAAGCCTGGAAATCTGTATGGAATGCAATTCACTGTGGTCGTTTGTAAACCAAATGAAAGGTTTTCACCTTCACTTTGATTTCTTTCAGAAATCTATATTTTAAAAGAGTGCGAATCAAATCCTCAGCCTGCCATATGGAAATAACTGGGTTAGATGGCCTCTGTCTAGTCTAAGCATTTAAAACTGTTTGGGGCTTTAGAAAACATAGGTTGGCACTAAGCTTCATTGTAGCCCAGATTTGGAAGTGGTTCTAAGCTGTGGTATATACACTTTGATAAATCTCATAGACTAGAGAAGCTAAGTGTGTTCTCCCAACATGAAACTATTTTAATCCTACTTATAATTCCACAGAGGGCTAGATTTACTCACTAGCTTGCTAAAAATGCACATGCTCTCCACCACCCTGTTATTTAAACACTGTTCAAAAATCATAAATAGAAATTCAGAGAACTCAATTCTGTAAGATGAAATTCATGCCCTTGCAGTAATTTGCCAAAGACCCTGTCAGTCTTAAAACATCCTTTGCTTCCCTACCAACCAAATTTGGAAGCTTGAGAACTATTTATTATATGAGGCAGACATTTTACCAACTCATAAAATGTTACTTTTTGTTTGGGTATGAATCTTATTTGTTCGTATTTTAACTAGGAGAGTATAATAAATACGATAGTCATCCCAGCTAATCCTAGGAAAAGAATTACTCTCTTATTTGGCAATTTTGTAAATATTTCTTTTTCGGGGGGGGGGGGGGGAGGTCCAGTCATGGGGCCTGAACTCTGGGCCTGGGTGCTGTCCCTCAGCTCTTCAGCTCAAGGCTAGCGCTCTACCACTTGAGCCACAGTGCCACTTCCAGCTTTTTTCTTTTTGCTTATGTGGTGCTGAGGAATCAAACCCAGGGCCTCAGGCATGCAAGGCAAGCACTCTACCACTGAGCCACCTTCGCAGCCCTTGTAAATATTTCTTGAGCACTTAGCTGTATGAAAGGAGCTATAGTGAGTGATTCAGATAAGAAAAATATTAATTAAATGTGACAGTTAACCTTAAGTACCAGAAGAATTAAGACATATAATGTATGTCAAATGCCATAGAAAACTTGCTAAAATGCTCTGAGCAATAGATCTTGCATGGGGTCTGGGAAATGAGTCAGCCAGGAAAAGTTTTGTAAAGTTTTGATGTATGAGCTGCGATGACTCGCCAATGTCCATATGGGAAAAGTGGAACTGAGGGGCAGAGAGGAGGCTCAAACAGGATGCTGAGACATTCCTCATAGTCTCAGAAACAGTACAGCATAGAACATGAGTGAGAAGCAAGAAACTCATGAGCTTTAGTTGCATGTAAATTAAAGTGAACAGAGATGAAACTCTGAAATCTCAGATTAAACTTTGGTGGGTGGAAGGAAATAATTTTCTCCATTATCCTACTCTTTAAACATCAACTGTGTATCTTAGGATAAATAATCTACCATCTTCATGTGAGCTTGATTGTCAAGGAAGTTAATGAGTTTGGCAAGACAGTCGGGAGGTTATTCTAATGGTCTCATAGGGGTTAGAAGCGCTGAACCGGACCGAGAAGAGAATTGGAACTGAGGAGTGGTTTTGAGGAAACCATATAGTAAAAACTTCTAGAATTTAGAACGTGATAAAGGAGAGGAAGAAGAAAGGGAGAAATAAAGCACAATTATAAAGACCAAAGTGACCCCATCACCAACATTAAAAAATCAGAGGAGTCAGTGGGATGGCTCTGGTGTGGTGGAATGTGACTTTAGCTTTGCTAGTGCTGCATAGATAGATGTACATGTGCTCTGCAGGGGACAGTTGAAAATATGAAATTGAAACACAGGATATGACCTGAATGTAGACTGGGGACTCATCATCATAAAGGCAATAATGGAAGTTGTATGAGTGCATATGAATGCCAAGGGAGATTAGAAGGAAGAAGATGGCCAAGAACAGGCCTCTAGGGGCATAGTGGTCTACTTTTCAGTCAGAGAAGAAGAGCTAAAGTTGAGATAGCTAGCAAGGTCAGGGTAGAACCAAGAATGTACAATAAAAGACCAGAGAAGAGAGGCTTCAAGAAAAGTTTCATATCCATGGAAAACCAGGAGAGAGTATCTCACGTCTACAATCCTAGCTGCTCAGGAGGCTGAGATCTGAAGATCTCAGTCCAAAGCCAACCTGGACAAAAAAGTCCTCAAGACTTGATTTCTAGTTAACCAGAAAAATGCCAAAGTGGAGGCATGACTCAAGAGGTACAGTGCTGGCCTAGCGTAGAAAAAAACAGAGCTTAGGGCAAAGGCCCTGGGTTCAGGCACTCATACCAGAACATTCAAATAGCCATGGAAATGGAGAGGTTAAGGAAGATGAATACCAATCGAGAAGGAGGAGGATTATGTGGCAAGTAAGAATATACTGATGACTTTCATAAGAGTGGTCTTAAAGCCATCCATTTCTGGAATGTATTGTCTTTGTGTCTGGCATTTATATTTAGCTTACTAAGTATCTTTCCTTTTTCCATTGCAAAAATACCACAATCAATGATAAGGCATGTGGTTGTCTATGTGTGCACCCACACGCAGTGTGTGAGACATCCCAAGACCAGGGAACTGCATTATACAATAAGCAATAACATTATTTTAATTAAATTAAAAATTACTTTGAACTCACATTTCATCAATACTGGAAACACTCATCCAATTAGAGAGAGTGAAAAATCTCTAGAAATCTCACATCAGTCAGCCAACAAAACCTGAACTGTGACAATTAAAAAGATATTCTTCTGCCTCATTTAGCCCTGTGAGACAATAATACAACAAAAGCACTGCATAAGCAGAGTTTGAGCTGAATTGATGAGCCTACCCCGGGAACCTATTGAGATCATTGTCTCTCTCCTTTCTTTGCAGAACAAAAGGCCCAGCTATGATAGCCACCGGAGGTGTGATCACGGGCTTGGCCGCCCTCAAGAGACAAGACTCGGCCAGATCCCAGCACCACATCAACCTCAGCCCGACTCCCACCACCCAGGAAAAGAAACCGGTCAGGCGAAGGCCACGGGCTGATGTTGTGGTTGTCCGGGGCAAAATCCGCCTTTATTCCCCATCTGGCTTCTTCCTCATTTTAGGAGTGCTCATTTCCATCATCGGAATTGTCATGGCTGTCCTGGGATACTGGCCTCAGAAAGAACATTTCATCGACGCGGGAACAACGTTGTCAACGAATGAGACTCAGGTCCTTCGGAACCACGGTGGTGTGGTGGTGCGCTTCTTTGAGCAGCATTTGCACTCAGATAAAATGAAAATGCTTGGCCCCTTCACCATGGGAATTGGTATTTTCATTTTCATATGCGCGAACGCCATTCTTCATGAAAACCGGGACAAAGAGACGAAAATCATTCACATGCGGGACATCTACTCCACCGTCATTGACATCCACACCCTGAGAATCAAGGAGCAAAAGCACATGAATGGCACCTACTCCGGTGTGGGGGGCGAGGCTGAAGTGAAGCAGAATGGGAGAGCCTGTGCCTCTCGATTGGCGGCAAATACAGTCTCCTCTTTCTCGGGGTTGAGGAGCAGTTTTCGAATGGACAGCTCTGTGGAGGAGGATGAACTGATGCTCAACGAAAGTAAGAGTTTGGGGCAACTGATGCCCCCTTTGCTCTCTGAGAGCTCTGTGTCTGTCTTTGGCCTCTACCCACCTCCTTCCAAGGCAGCCGAGGAAAAGACTAGCAGCTCTAAGAAATGTGAAACCAAGTCAATTGTGTCGTCTTCTATTAATGCTTTTACACTTCCTGTGATCAAACTTAATAACTGTGTTATTGATGAACCCAGTATAGATAACATCACTGAGGATGCTGACCACCTCAACAGTAGATCCAAGAATTTGTCAATGGATTCCCTCGTGGTCCCTCTGCCCAGTGCTGGTGAATCCTTCCAGCCCATCAGTACCATGCTCCCGAGGAATAATTCCATTGGGGAGGCGTTATCCATTCAGTACAAGTCATCTGTGGCGCTTGGTCCCGGGGCTGGGCAGCTCTTATCACCCGGGGCTGCTAGAAGACAGTTTGGATCCAACACATCCTTGCATTTCCTTTCTTCTCATTCAAAATCTTTAGACTTAGACCGGGGTCGATCCACCCTCACGGTTCAGGCAGAGCAAAGAAAACATCCAAGTTGGCCTCGGCTGGATCGGAGCAACAGCAAAGGATATATGAAGCTAGAGAACAAAGAGGACCCCATGGATAGGTTGCTGGTGCCCCCAGCCGCCATCAAAAAAGACTTCACCAATAAGGAGAAGCTTCTTATGATTTCAAGGTCTCATAACAACTTAAGTTTTGAACACGATGAGTTTTTAAGTAATAATCTAAAGCGAGGAACTTCTGAAACAAGGTTTTAATGTTGCCAAGTAGAACATTTTCTAAGGGTATATGTTTGAACAGTATTTTCACCATGACTTCCTTCTGAGAGGACTGGCTGGGAGCGTTTTTTAATCAAATGGTTTGTAATGTATTAGAACCGGCGGCTTAATTCTGTGCTGGATATGGTTGTATGTTCCAGTCAGTGAGGACTGCAGTACTCTAGATGATCACACATGAGTTTTTTCCCATTCCTTTAAAAAGCATGATCTCCTTTATTGATGTGAATACAAAAGCACTTGCATCCCAATTAAAAGTTTTTCTTTACTTTTAAGTTCTTTCATTGTCATATTCATAGAAGGAAATATTTAGAAGGAAAACTTAGGGTACCAAACAGTCAGGCCCAACTCTCAATCTAAGTTTGTAAATAGGGTCTCAGGATGTGATTTTCTGAATGACTGGTTTTTATAAAGAACTGGAGAAATTATTTAAAAGAAGAAGGATCTAGTTTATATGTGGTCTGTGTAATATGAGTTAAGTTGGTTGTGATTCTTACTCTGAGCTTTAAGGTAGGCGGCATTTTTTTTAAAATGTCAGTTGTAGTGATATCAAGAAATGATATATTCAAGAGCCAGGGCTAAAAATTCCAGGCATACATAAGAGACAAATCCCAAATAACTATTAGAACTAATGCTAACTATTCAGAATCAAAATTTGTTTGCACAAATGAACCTATGTCACTTGTAGAAATGCTATCTTGAAATAATTGTACACATGAAGAAAATATTGACAGATGAATGAAGATACATCATTTGCTAGTTAATGCTACCAAATCTTAGTATTGTTTTCTAGCTATTTGTTACCAGCCCAAAACCACTCACTCCCATAACCTTATTTTCCTCTGATATTGTCTAGATCCTGGCAATTTGGAAAAAATTGGCTAACCTTGACATTCATCTTCCCATACCAACAGCGTGGTGGTTCATGAATATTTAGTCCTTGATAAATTGCCTTGAAATTTACTTTGTGCTGGAAAGCCTTATGCTAACTCCAAAGACTTTCTTGTGGTATACTTTCTTGTGGGAGGATTATTCTTCTCAATTGTTGAAGGTGTTAAGTACTAAAAGGTATGTGTCCATCAGAAATTTGTCATGTTTTCTATTAAGGAAATATAATAATTCTTAACTGTTTGGTGAAATACTCAGGAAATGTACCGATTTTGCCCAAAGTCTAAACACTTCTGCACATAAATGTTGCAGTTTGGGGAAAGAGCAGCAAGAAGACCCATTTGTGTGTGTAGCACCCACAACTCCATCTATGTTTGTACCTCGAGCTTCCGTCAGTCAAGGCCCTGCACTTCTTAGGAGAACATGGAGCCTGTGTATTGTCATAGAGTAGCCTCAATATTTTACTATAAAGCACTTAATAAATACCTGTTCTTCGTAGAAGTTTGTGTTCTTTGTATATCTTCTATTTTTTTTAGACAAAATGTACATCCCTGCCTAAAACGCTTGGTTTTTAAGCTTTCAGATGTAGTCTAATGAGTGCGTGTGGAGACCTTGGCACCTAAGGGCTTTGGTTTTGTATTTTTACTTATTTACCTTTTTTGCTAAAGCAACAAAATGCCCCTCCTTTCATTTTTTATTTATATTGTGTAATCGTTTTTTTTACATTTTATTAGTATCAATTAATTGTGTGAGGGGATTCCATTTTGAGGTATCCCAAAATATATACACTGTACTTTGATCAGTCACCCTTCTACCCACCCCTCTCATCCCTCCCAACCTTTCACAAAACCACGCCAACAACCTCCAGTGCTCCATTTTCACCCATGTATATAAAGTATTTTGATTGTATTCTTTTTTTTTACTCTCTACATTTTCCTATCCCGACCCCCAATACTCCTATCATAGTTAGGACCTGTTTTACATTCCTATGCTTCTTTGATATTCTTACTGTATGTTTAAGGGTTCAAAAGAGTTTCACTGTGGAATTTCATACATGCATAGGAAGTATTTTCATCAGATTGACACACTCTCACTTTCCCCATCCCCACTATCCCTATTATTCAACTTTCAGTGTTTCCGTTTGCTTATCTTCATTCTTGCTCACCTTGTAACATGCCCAAACTCCCTGCCAAACCTCTCCAGTGGTCCCACAATTACCAACATGCTTTGGCCTTTTCATTTTGCTTCTGTTAGGTTAAACTGTGTGGTCTAGCCACATGTTTTATTAGTTTCTTTTCTTTTTTCTCACATTTGTTATGTTGAGAACATTTTTCCATAAAACTTCATTGGCTCTCAGGAAAACAGTCAAGTACAGCATTCAGCGAATGTCAGCACCACTGTCGGATTTGAAAGCAGTAGCTCTGGACAACCTTGATGTGACAGATGACTAAGGTTCTATAATTTGCTGAGCTCTCCTCCTGAAAGAGCTCTAGCAATTTGAACAGGATTAAGCAGCAGGGATCTTTGAGGATCCAAATAAAGGGATTGGGGAAGGGTAAGTTAAAGCAGTGGTTCTTGCATAACCTCCTCTTCATCAAAAAAAAAAACAGATTTTATTTACCAAATTGATTTTATGAAATGATGAATAGTTTTCTCATTTTCAATTAATCGAAACTGTGTGGCTTAATGTTTCAGAGGAATGTAAGGTAGAATATGCACTATACTAATTTCAGTGTAATTCTCCACAGTAAAGCCTCTAAACCAGGCATTTGAATTGGATCATATTTTGTATACTTCCCTTAGTCTTTTGTGAATATTGAAAATAATTTAGAAACTTAATTTCTTCCCGTGGGAAGAACTCCAGGACTCAGAATCTAAAGCTGGAGACCTCTAGCCCAATATTTCTAAAGCCTGTACCTTACCATTTATTTATTTATTAGGGTTACAGTAATAAAATACCACAGACTAGGTGGCTTAAACTATATAAATTATTATTTTTTTTTTTTTTTTTTGCAGGAGTGCAAGACCTGGGTATCACTGAGATTAGTTTCCCTTGGGAACTCTCTTCTTGGCCAGCAGATGGCTGGCCTTGTCACTGTGTACTAATGTTTTGTTTTTCTCTGTGTGAATATCCTTGTTGTCTCCTTTTCTAGGACAGCAGACATTCTGGATTAGAGCCCATTCTTTAGACCTCATTTAACCTTAATTACCTCCAAAGGTATGGCTACCTTCTGAGGTGCAAGGGGTTGGGGCTTTTAACACATGAATTCTAGGAGACACAGTTCAGCTCATAACATGAGTGTGGAGAACTGCATGACTAATCTTAGCTAAAGATGAATGAGAAAAATCACAATCAGACCTCCATGGCTCTGACACTCCAGTCTGATGGCCTTGAGGAAGACTTCACTCTCTCAATGCCAGTGTATTTCTTAACTCCCATACAAACATCAATCTCTGCCAACCAACACAGCCCTACTCCCAGCTTCTATAGATGTTATAGAGGGTCAGGATGTGACAATTAGGCACATCATGAGATTAATATGCAAGTGATATCTACAGCTGTTCTGTTCTCACACCATCCTCATCTCACCCCAAGTATTTTATCCATCCTGTAGTAGAATTAATAACGATCTGCCAAAATGTGTCTGTGTCCTGATCCCTATGATCTGTGAATATTACTTTCTATGACAAAACAGACTTGCAGCTGTCACATTAAGAGCTTTGAGATGAAACTATCATGGGTTAATCAATTGAGGCCGATGTTAATCACAAGAGCTTGTGCAATCACAATGGTCCCTAAAAGAGGGAAGCCAAGGGAAATGACAACAAAGGTGGTGGCAGGACCAAAGCAGAAATGGAGCTACTAAGGCCCTGATTTTGAAGGTGGACAGAGAAAAGTAAGATCTACAAACTGAACATACACTGCCCCACTCACCCCCATGCTCCCGAAGAACCAGCTTCCTGAATAACTTGGACTTCTGAGCTTCTACACGCATAGGAGAAGAATCAATCCAGTAATGTTTGGTGATTGTTAAGGCAGCCATTGGAAAGTAATACATGGCTTCTTGAAAATATCGAACCCATAGTCAGTAACCTAGAATGGATCAAAGGCATCATCTATAATGCCACCAACCATGACAAATAGCTCCAAGTAGAATATCAGATAAACCTTAAATTTACTTTTTTCCTGGCAGTCTCTCACTTTCCACCACTGATCATCTTTATGTAGGTATAATTTTTTTAAGTTGCAACTTATTTAAAGCAGAAAATGATTTGGAGGGAAAATAAAATCTATAAAGCCTTGTTGTCTATTAAACAACAACAACTGTCAATCGTGCAAGCTTACAAGCTCAAGTATACATTTCCATGTCTACAATCTTAGGAGAAAAAATGGTAATTTAACTAAAGAGAAATGCACTTTCCCATGTTTTTAGCAAAGTGGATATAAAACTAACACAAGATTTGAATAAAGATAAATCTTTAGTTTCTCATTTTAGCAGCTCAAATTTAATCCTTTTAAATTCACCACAGAAATATACCATAGATAATTAAGAGAAAGGAAGCATATTTTTTTAAAAAGGTAAATAATATATCTAGCAGTAGCATTTAAAATATTAGAGTCCTGGCCTGCCCAGTGATATATATCTACACACAGTGATATTCAGGTTGCTCCAAGATCTCAACCACTTCTTCTCTAGAGCAGTATCCAAGCTATCAGCCTCTTGTTTTCAGTGAATTATCCCTGCCCGATCCTATCCTTCCCTGTCCCTACATAGATTCCTGTTTAACACTTTATATCCAGGTATTGTTATAATGTCACTTGGATATTGGTTACTCAAGAAGTTCAATATTTGTCTTCATTCTCCCATTTCATAAAGTTCTTTACGATCTGGATTCAATCTGAAGTAACTCATCAATTTCTGTCTATATATTGTGTCGCCCAACATGCCACAAGACGAAAAATTTATTTAATTTTTTTTATTTTATTGTAAAGATGCTGTACAGAGAGGTTACAGTTACATGAGTAAGGTAATGAGTACCTTTATTGTCAAACATTGTTACCTCCTTTGTTGACCTCCCACTACCCCTTCCCTCCCCCCCTCCCCCTCTCCCTTCCCACTCCCTGTGGAAGTTGTAAAGTTCATTTCCAACATAGTGTCTTGTGAGTATCATCATTGCAGTGGGTCATCCTGTGTCCTTGTTTCAGCATCTGTTATTCCCCTTCCTCTCCCCAAATCAGATAAATGTATATACAAGATGCAAGGTAGCAAAATCAAGTACAGTGACAACAGGGGATATAGCACAGGAGGAAGAACATACAAAAGAAACAAAAAAATCACATAGTACACTAAAAGCAACAGCAACCAAGAAAGACCTCTTGCGTCCATATCTTGGGGTTTATTTCACTTATCATCATCTTATGTGGTTATATATACATAGCTTTTGAGATTTTTCTGCTCATCTGATAAGATTGTTGCAAATGAGGGGAAATCATGGTCCTATATTTCTTTGGATCTGGCTTACTTCACTTAATAAGATTTTTTTCCAAGTCTTTCCATTTCCTAACAATTCCGTTATATATATATATATATATATATATATATATACACATATATATATATATACATATATATATATATGTGTATATATATATATATATAACATATTCTTTTTTTTAATTTTTAATTTTTATTTTTTGTGAACATACTGTACAGAGGGGTTACAATTATATGGGCAAGATAATGAGTACATTTCTTATCAAGCATTGCATCCTCCTCCTTTGTTTACCCTTCACAACCCTTCCCAGCCTACTCCCGCCCCCCCCACCCAATCCCCTCCC